TGTTGGGGGCAATATGCTGACTCTGTAAACCGCTTAGAGAGGGCTGAAAGCCCTATGAAGCGGTATATAAGTCTAACTGCTAGTGCTATTGCTATAACCTCAGCGTTTGTCACTTAAAGATGAGCCAGCCAAAAAACGCTAATGCGATCCTTGATTGTAGAAAGAGAAACACAGAACCAAAACCACGTGAAACGTTAGAAGGATTGTATAAAACCAAGGCAAGGCCACTCCGGGAATCCCACATCCAATTTTGGTCTCCATGTCGCAAAAAAAGATGTTGAGAGTTTGGAAAAAGTACACAGAAGAGCAAGCCAGACGATGAAAGGCCTGGAGGCTCAAACGGAGGAAAAACGCTTGCAGGATTTGGGTTTGGCCAGTCTAGGGAAAAGAAGGACCAGGGGGGACGTGATAACAGCCTTCCGATATTTGAGGGGCTGCCACAGAGAATGGGGGGGGGATCCACCTCTTCTCCAAAGAAGCAACGGATGGAAACTTAATTAAGGAGAGAAGACGCAAGCTGGAATTAAGCAAGAACTTCCTAACGGTGAGGACCAGGAAGGGGTTTTTTTAAGGAAGGGACAGGACAGTCTCACTTGTCTGAAATGGTCTGGGGTGGCCTGCTTGGCCAGGGGGTTGGACTAGAAGACCTCCAAGGCCCCTTCCAGTTCTACTCTGATTGACTGACGATGTGGGTTATACTCAAATTGGTGCTTGTAGTGAATTAAATTTGAATAAATACCTAAAGAAAGACTCCAAATGCAACAGCAACCCAGGATTGTGCAGGATGCTTTTAATGTTTTAATTTTTATTAATTAAGTTTTAATTAATTAAGTTTTTTTTAAATGCTCTCCCTCTTTTACACTGTGCTTTTAAGAGGCTGGAAACCACCCAGAACTGCTGGACAGGGAGACGGGTAGCATATAAATTTAGTACATCATCATCATCATCATCATCATCATCATGATTATTTTACTTGAACACTATTTGAACACGATCAGCACTGACAAAAGTCACCACTGGTTGATTGCAAAAGGCAGTTTTGCTCAGAAGAGTTTCCCTCCGGCGATGACATTTGGCACCCAATCAAATAAAAACATCTGTCTATCCCACATCCTTGTCAGCTAGGTAAAAAATGCCAAATCCAGTCTAAACATCAGGCTGACTGGGCACCTTGGGTGCAATCCCGAAACATCTGGAGCACCATCGGCAGTGAGACATCGGCCACTGGCACCTGCGAAAGGCAGTTTCACTAGAAACACCTGGCATCTCGCAACCACAGGACGCCCTATAAGGTNGGAGATCAAGCACTCAACCTGGGCGGGTTGCTGGATGATGGGAGAAGGAACCCCCCCCAACTACCTGAGACATGATAAGGACACCGGATTGATGCTTCCCCTGGGTTCTAAGCCCCCCACTTCCTGGGACCCTCCTCCTTCTGACCCCCTCCGGCTGACCTGGACTACCACTCCCACACACCCAGCCGCTGTCTGGAGGGTGGAGAGCTGCCCTTCCTGCTGCCCACCAGAGAAAGCTGCCTCTCCACGGACATCTATCCATGTCTTACAACTGCTTTATTGCCAATTCTTCTTCTGCCAGGCGCTGCCCCGGGGCACTGAGGGCCTAGGAGGGGTAGGAGACTTCGTCAGGGATCAGCGGCGCCTGGATGTCCAGCTTCCGGCTTTTGCTGTCCTCCAGGATCTCCAGGCGCAGCGAGGGCCCTCTCCGCTGGCCCTCGGTGGTGGGCAAGGAGCCGTCCTGGCCTCGGGCCTTCAGCAGCTGCTTGTCCGAATCGTCCACCGCGATCCTCAGGGTGCAGCCGTGGGGAAGGAGGTCCTGCTCGTACGCGGCGGCAAGCTGGTTCACCACCCGGCGCTCCACCTGGCCAAGAGGGAAAGCGGGCACAGCAGAGATGCCACTTCTGGCGCCCACGGACTGGCACAGGCTGCCTTTCCCAAAGAATTCCTCCCAGCAGCCAGCAGCCCCCAAACCTCAGATTCCAGGGAGGGAAATTAAAGCCGGTGAGAAAGGGACCCTCAGCTGCGGTTTCTATTCAGAATTTACAGAAAGGGGCGGGGGGGGGGGCTAATTTATAACTGGGATGCAGTGGGACCCAAACTGGTTGGGGATTGGCAGAAGGTCCTCAGGTTTCAGGGAAAATGAATTTGAAATGAATCTGCTTCTTGACTCACTGCACCTGGGAAAAGTAGGAAACCAGGAGACAGGGAGTTCTAGTTCCGTCTCGGCTTGAAAGATGCCTTGGGGGGGGGGGGCTGGGGCCAATCACCAGGTTGAGTGAGCGGCTCTAATCCCGCCTTACGCATGAGAGCCGACTGGGTGACTTTGGGCCAATCACCAGGAGACAGTGAGTTCTAGTCCTGCCCGGCCTTGAAAGCCGACTGGGTGACTTTGGGCCAATCACCAGGAGACAGTGAGTTCTAGTCCTGCCCGGCCTTGAAAGCCGACTGGGTGACTTTGGGCCAATCACCAGGAGACAGTGAGTTCTAGTCCTGCCCGGCCTTGAAAGCCGACTGGGTGA